TGTATGTGTGTGTGTGCGCGCGCGCGCGGGCGGGCGGGCGGGGGGCGGGCGGGCGGGCGGGAGCGCGCGGGCGGGCGCGCGGGCGGGCCGCGCGTGCGGGCGCGCGGGCGGGCGCGCGGGCGGGCGCGCGGGCGGCGGGCGGGGGGCGGGCGGGCGGGCGGGGGAAGGCGGGGCGGGGCGGGCGCGCGGGCGGCGCGGGCGCGGCGCGCGGGCGGGCGGGGCGGGCGGCCGGGCGGGCGGGCGGCCGGGCGGGCGGGCGGCCGGGCGGGCGGGGCGGGCGGGCGAGCGGGCGGGCGGCCGGGCGGGCGGGCGGGCGGGCGGGCGGCGGGCGGGCGGGCGGGCGGGCGGGAGGGCGGGCGGGCGGGCGGGCGGGCGGGCGGGCGTGCGGGCGTGCGTGCGTGCGTGCGTGTGTGTGTGTGTGTGTGTGTTGTGTGTGTGTGTTGTGTGTCTGTGTGTCTGTGTGTCTGTGTGTCTGTGTGTCTGTGTGTCTGTGTGTCTGTGTGTCTGTGTGTCTGTGTGTGTCTATGGCCGCCCGCTCCGGCCGCCTGAGGCCCCGCCTTCTGTGCCCTGTCTCCCTGATTACAGCTGTGCGTAGCCCGCCTAGCTTTTAGCGGAAGAGGTTCGCTCTCGCCCCGCAGACCAAAAAAGTGTGTGTGTGTCTGTCTGTCTGTCTGTCTGTCTGTCTGTCTGTCTGTCTGTCTGTCTGTCTGTCTGTCTGTCTGTCTGTCTGTCTGTCTGTCCGTCTGTTCGTCTGTCCATCTGTCTGTCTGTCCGTCTCTCTGTCCGTCTGTCCGTCTGTCCGTCTGTCCGTCTGTCCGTCTGTCTGTCTGTCTGTCTGTCTGTCTGTCCGTCTGTCCGTCTGTCCGTCTGTCCGTCTGTCTGTCTGTCGGTCTGCCTGCCTGCCTGCCTGTCTGTGTGTCTGTCTGTCTGTCCGTCTCCCCCCCTGCGCCCCCCTGGCCACGGGGCTTCCACTGCTGCCCGTGCCCTCGCCCCTCCAGTGCGCGCTGCCCCTGCGGGCCGCGCTGCCGCTGCGTCGCCGCCCTGCCTCCGTCGCGCTGCCGCAGCGCCCCCCTGCAGTCCCCGTCCGGCCTCTCTCCTCTTCGCCCCCGCGGATCCTCAGTGCCTCCGCGCCGCGCGTATCGGGGCCCTCCCGCGCGCCTCTCTCGCTCTCCCTCGACCTGCTCTGCGCCGCGCCGCTGCGCGCGTGGCCGCGACGCCAAAAACTGTGTGTGTGGCTCCACTCCGGCGACTTCCTGGTCCCGTTCTGAGTGCCGGTGCTGGGCCTGCTTCTGCTGGGCGAATTCGTGCCTCGCGCGGCCCGCCTGGATGTTGACACGCCGCTGTTGCGCTCTTCGCTCGCGGCTGCCGACAAAAAATGAATGTGTGTGTGCGGGAGGGGGGGGTGCATTGTTTGTGTGTGTGTCTTCCGCACCATCCCCCCGAGCGTTGTTTCCCTTGCTGTGCCCTCCCCTGGATGGACGCCGTGCCTGTCGGTTGTCGGCTTCCTGCCTCCACGCGGGCACGCTCGGGCTGCCGGTCGTTCCGCCCTGCTGTGTCGGTTCTCTGGCTTCGCTGTACTGTCTGTTGCTGGCCCACCTCACTTGTCGTCTCGTCTCTGCCGCCTGGCCGCACTGCGCGCCCCCTTGCCTGCCTTTTTTTTTTGTGTGTGTGTGCAAAGTCAGACCCTTAAATTAGTCATCGACCTCGCCCTTTTCTTGGTATGATCAACCGAAGAATTTCCTTTCTCTCCGCTTCTGCTTATCGGTGCGCCGCTCGCGTTCCCCTACCGCTTTTATCCTTCGCCCCCCTTTTCTATCCTTAGCCACTCCCTGCCCCCATTCTCCGTCATTCGGTTGACCCCAGAGGTGGCCCTCGAGGCTTTTGTATCAGACCTCCACTCCTCTCTTCTTCGTCGTCCCTCCCCTGCGTGACTGTCCAGACCGTTTCGGCACATGCACGAAACACGCACACACACACACACAAAACTATATTCTGTCATGTTCTACTCGGGTATGTTATGTGATATGTTGGTGTTCTCTTTTTCCATGCTAATGATATGTTATGTTCTGCCATGTTCTGTCATGCTCTTGCTCTGTTCTGTCATGTTCTGTTGTGTCATATTGTGCTCTGTCGTGTTTGTCGAGGACGCGAGGCGGGACACCCAGTATTCTCGGGACACCTTTGGGTCTGGCGGCCGCGGAATGCAGGGTGTGTTCTGTTGTGTTTGTCGAGGGCGCGAAGCGAGATAACTGGGGCGCTCGGGGCAATTTGGGGTTTGGCGGCCGCGGTATGTAGGGTGTGTTCTGTCGTTTTTGTCGAGGGCGCGGGGCGGGATACCTGGGACACTCAGGACGATTTGGGGTCTGGCGGCCGCGGTATGCAGGGTGTGTTCTGTGTCGTGCTTGTCG